TGGGACTTAGGGTGTCCGGGATTCGCCACAAATTTAAAAATGTAGAAATTTTATCAGCAACGTATGGGGCTTTCTTTACAAGGAGATCGACTAATTGTGATGTAATATCAATAAGGATTGTTGATTCCAGACAGGCCCTTACAATTTCTGGAGAGGGTCATACCTTTAAAAATATTTATCTTGTTCTCCAAAAATGGAGAGAAGGGGCGCATGACGGAATTGTGTTTCAAGATGATGCATCCAACTGTAATGTGGAGATTGAAGTGTGGGAAGGATACGTAAAGGAGGGCGATGTTCACTTAAGGTGCGACGATAAGTCTGGGAATAGCAGGGTGGATTTAGGAAATACGAACGCTGTTATAATAAATCATGGGAGAAATATGGAGATCATTTCTCCAAATGGGAGGTATATCGAGAAAGACGATTACCCAAGAAGCTGGGGTTGTGGAAGTTAAGCGGTTCTTAGGTCAGGAAAATACTTGAATGAATAATGGATAGTAAATTTCAATTAAAAATAGTGAAGTGAAATTTGCGTGGACATATATAAGTCTAATTTGTACGTTCGTAATGTTTCTAACGGAACTTTTTAAGAAACAAGCTTTTTTAATGTTTACGTCGAACCACATAGAAAATTAAAAGAAAAAACATTTGATTCTTTTGAATCGTAATGATGATTGCATTCAGGGTTCGGAAAACCCCGGGGTTTTTCTAGAAAAACCCTTAACCAGGAGTTTTTCCGGGGTTTTTGGGGTTTTTGTAGATAAAAACAATATAGTTTTCAGTTTTAATCTCCGTAATAAAGTTTCTTGTAGTATTTAATGAATGTTTTATATATGTCAATCTTTCCATAAGAATTTAATCATTGTGAATTTAGATAATTGAATTTAAATAAATTTATATTTTCAATCATATTTTGCCCTACGTATCTTATGATGATTATTAAATATACGTATGATTGATGTGGTATTGTTTAAAGATAGCATAAAATAGCACTGATAGCATAAAAGCACGCATTTGTGGGTTGCAAAGTTGTCAACGTTTCGATGATGATAAATAATAAATATTTTAGGATGAACGTGTATCAGAGGAGACAAGTGTGTATAATTATTTTTTATCATTTATAAAGTGTGTTGGATTATAAATTGAGTTGGACGTTTAGCTATTCAGGTGATTTAAAGGGATTTATTGGCATCACGAAATACATTTGATTAAAATGATTAGTTAATATCATTAATTTCTTTAAGTTCATGTCCTGTCCATACCAAACCATACAGGTTTATTTCTCTCGTTTCAAATAATTCAATAATTTGCAATAAATAATTACTGCCAGCAAAACCTAGAAGTACTACTTTAAAATATTTACCACATTACCAGTAACAAATTAATAGTTTGCATCACACAAAATTCTTGAATGACTATGAATTTCTAAGCACCTTATTTTCGTTATATATATTAAGTTGCCAGACTGAGAGGGAAATTACTTAAGGTATGCACAAACAAATTATAGAACCAATTTAAAAAATTATATATATTTATTAGAATATATGTATACCATCTAAATGTGTTCTTTTCATCTTCCAACGATTTTTATGTATGATAGCTTAAAATTTGCGTAATTTTGTGTAAATGAAGAATCTGCAATAATATTGGGGGGGGGCGTATGCCGGCAGTTTTCGAGATAAAAGCCGAGATATGCGAATTTTTTGAGAATTTTGAGAAATTTGATTTTTGACTCAAAATCGTCAAAATTGGGTTAAATATCGCTGGAAATAATTTTGAAAATAATTTTGCACCAGAATTTGGCCACTGCCTCGAATTCGGGCCCCCAACAACTTTTTGAATAATAATAATAATTAATAATTCATAATTTTGTTACCAACTCGAACGTTGTTATTAAGTCATAAGACCTTTGGTACAATATTTCGCCACTTTCTTGAATTTACATACCCTATTGACAAATTGGAGTAAAAAATATTGTGAGGTACCGCTTGAGCCAGTTCGAGTATAACTAATCGACCTGATATCAATTTTTATGATACAACATATTCGTTACACAAATTGTTATTAAATAGGAATTTTGTAAATAATTCGGAATTTGGTTATTCACTGCTAAACACGGGAACTTAGTTCTCGCTATTAACGTATTTATTTTTAAATTAGACACGTTACGTACACATTAGGTGTGAGCATAGTTTGCTAACTTGGTGTATTCCCAAAAAATAAACATTTTAAAAATGACTCCGTGAAGCATACTATTTGATTCGGAATTTTGTAAACAAGGCGAAATTTTGTTAATAATCTGTCAACTTTAATTTACTCGAAATTTAGATAACATTTCAAATAGTCGTTTACAATTCAAGAAAGGTTGTTAATAATGCGTCCACTTGTTTTACCGCAGATTTTATGTGTCTAGGTTACAAGATGGCATATTTGATTCCATCCATCATCGTGATATTGATTGCAAGCTACGCTTGCGGAAACATGGACTATAGTAGTGTGAAGTTATAAGCACTTGACTAGAGCACTCTGGACAGATATTCAAAATTGCCACCGAATACAGCAGATAGATACACTGGGTGCCCAAAAAGCCTCAACACCAAAGGATCCTTCTATGGACTCTGTACACATGAATTGACCCCAAAACCAGGAGGAACATGCATAAAAGAAGCTGGATATCGTTGCACTGACGGCCACGATGAAGCCATTTTGACGTTTGACTGTCCAGCTGAATCAGAACGCCAAGGGAAAAAACTTCACTGCGCGGATAATGAGTTTTGTGAACCAGAATGCAAATTACAAAAAACAAAAACTTGCATACCGTGGGCGGAGTATAAAATTTAAATGTCTCATTTTTTTTTACTTTTTCTTGAAATGAAATTATTTCTCCTTGCTACAGGGATGGAGCATAACCACTAACGACTAGCTTGTTTTACTCACTGTCGCTTCTCGCAACTTTGACTTTGAGAATAATTTTCTAAATCAGAATTACAAATATAAATACATATCATAAATATGTAACTGAAATTAGAAAAAATGAGTTATGTAAAGTTAATCATTATCGTTATTTTATTTAATAAATAATAAATAAGTTATTACCGTTGAGAATATTTTTTTCCTTCTAATATTAAAAAAAGGTTTAAATTTAATAATTTATCTAGCAAAATAACGATTATCGTTAGTTTTACATAACTCGTAATTTGTTCTAATTTCAGTTACATATGTATTTATATTTGTAATTCTGATTTAGAAAATTATTCTCAAAGTAGAAGTTGCGAGAAGCGAAAGTAAGTAAAAAAGAGGAGAAATGAATGAAAGCAAAAGTCAACGCATTTGAATGGGGAAAAATGTAAATTTTCGCTCACTCATACCACTATAACTTTGTTCAAACTGAGCATTATGAAAAAAACCCGAAACATGTGTCTAATTATTTATGTAAATCTACATAATTAGATACGTAGTTTCATCAAAATTGGAGCGAGACCGCTGGTGGCATCGCATTGTTAGTAAGACAAGGCATCGCTTGGAAGTAATTTCGGTTTAGTTAAAATACCATGAATGAAAAGTTACATGAATAACTTATATTTGGGCTAATCAAATATGTGTATAGTTACAGTTGTGCATCTTATCCTATTAAAAATTCCAAACTAAAATTTACTTAAAGTTATTGCTTAACTTCGTTCAGTCGAATTTGAGTTGATTTGAGATATCAATTTATTCATGATTTCACAATCAAATTAATATCACGGATAAAAGTGCATTCTTTGATTTGTTTATGACAGGATGGGGTTCCGCACAGCAAAAATATCAAATTTATGTAGTCTGGTTTCAAATTGTGAACTACTAACTTGAAACACTTCATCATTCCTCTGATTCCTCGGCATCTTTTTCGTCCTCATTCATATGTACATTGCACACACAAGCATTTACGATAATTACAAAAAATAAGTATTTAATATGAACAGAAACAGTTTCGTTATTTTCTTCCTTTTAGTATCCCAGACGTTAAGGTAATTAATCTCCATCATACTACCATTTGACGCACTTCTTTTTCAATATGATTTATCCGTTTTTTACCATTCGCAGGGCACCGGAATATGGGGCAAAAAGCCAATATGACGGATGTGACCCCATTGCGATTGATGATCCGCCAGTGGTTATGAGTATGAAATTCACATTTTGAAGCTAACATTACACACATGTAATTCCCTAGTCCAAATAGGAATATCGATATTTTGTAGGCGACTCTGCCATCAGCCTACCAATCTACCCAATTCGTAGAAATCGTAAAAATTCGTAAAAAATCCGATGTCATCGGAGGATACAATTCATTTGTTGATAATCAAACGTGCAATTAAAAACGATCAGGTAAAAGATGTTCATATGTACACATATACGCAGTTATTTATTAAGTGCCAGTATTCACAGCTATGTAACTGTTCCAGGCACGACTGATCCTCACTAAATTCAGCAGTAGTGTGAATATAGCTCACAGGGCGATAGAATTGGCAGAAGTACCGCACTTGACTACATCATCTTACAGACCAGGGGGTGCTACAGCTTTATATGACGCAGTCTCAGAAGGGATTCGGTAAATATATGTGCCAGTCTTAAAAATTCGGACAAGTTAAAATTGAAACTTTTGTGGATTGAAGGATTGCCGGAGCCGCAGCCAAAAGTGATGAAAGAGTTCTCGTTCTAATTATGACTCGTTTGATATTACTTCAATATTATTAAATATTTATGCCAAATGTATATTTCTGAATTTATTATCCTTGTGTAGACGGTGAGGAGAATAGCTCGAAAAAAGCTACAAGTTCTTCAGTGAAAGCTATGATTCGAAAGAAGGAATGGTGAACTCGCAACTTGGACGTTTGCCTACATTGGGCAGAACCCGGATGCGTGGGCAAGTCAAATGGGACCATCCAAGCACAATGTTATCGTGTACAAATTTGCAAAATCAAGGCTCCAACATGGAGAAAGCTTCCGACGCAGTAGCAAAGTTCAGAGGAGTTGCAGCCCCACAGTCGAGCGCTTTATTTGCGCAGACATAATTACATATTTACAATTTTAAGTCTATCCTAATTTGAAAAAAGGACAATACAAATTCATAAAAAATTCATATCCTCCCAAGGTGGTTGGTCTAAAACAAGCCCTTTTAGTGTGTAATTTCCTTGATAACCGTCATCATCTACCTCAAGCCGGTTAATATCCAAAGGTTTGTATCCCCACAAATCCATCGCTTCTTCACAAGAATTTTGAATTCTGTCCAAACGCGTGACATTATTGCGATAAAAGTTAAACCAACTAAACGCAACCTTTTTTGAATTGCGATACGTGCCAAATTCACCCTTTCGAGTAAGTCTCGAATGAAGCATAGCAAACTGCTTGACTTTCGAATGATAGCTTAATCGGAAAAAGGGAAGAATCGTTTTCGCTGCGAGTGGTACGTTTAATGATACGTCTTCGTAACGTAGGACCCTGTGGTATCGTAAAATCGTATCAATTGACCAAATTTGAGATAAATATTTCAAGACAAAACCTACTTGAAGCGCTTGGGGTATTTTTCCCTTAAAGTTTTTGCATCTGCAAATTCGTCCACCAAATCAGAACAGAGACGACGCTCATCAGAACAATCGGGATGATGGTCACACCAGTAGTTTGACCCATTATTCCTCGACTTCATTGTTCCTCTTGGGTCCCGGACGAGGTAAATGAGACGAGTATCATATCTGAATAAATACATTAAGCATAATATGCACTCTTAGTAATTCAGCACCTCAGAGTAATTAATTCTTACTCTTCATCCGATAACAATTCCTCTGCATCTTTCAACCTAAATCTTACAAATTTGACGAGTTGGATGGGAAAGAATGTGCAGACTTTCGAAATAAATTGAGGGTCACGACAACCATCCTGGACTATGGTTCAAAATGGCTTCATTTTGTCGCTACGACTAATCATGCCGGAAATGAAGTTCCCGCCATTTCCAGTCCACTCTAAACAAATAAATTATGTCGTTCGTCAACATATCCTGTAATCGAATTTCTATTATTCAAATTACCAGTGTAATTAAAGTAACAATTAAAAATTGATTTGCTCATTGTTATCCCATTTGATACCTCCACTTTGGACGAATCTACGCGTGATAATATTTTCCAATAGGTAAAATTTAGCAAAACAAATAACCAAGTTTTTTTATTCACCCGTTCACTTTCCATGTACATGAAGGGTTCAAAAATTAGAAGAGTTCCTGGATGACTGCTAACCAATTCAGCCAAAAATGTTGAGCCTGAGCGCCAAGTGGAGACTATGATGTTGCGAATCGGTTTGCCACCAAAATCAGGAATGTGATCTATGCAAAAAGTTTTGTTTTTTGTGATTCCTGATACTTATAAATTCTTCAACAAAAATTTTCTTGCCCTTTTGCCAGCTGATATTAAACCCCTGTAAGTCCGTTCGCATGGATTGCCGTAAGTTGTAAATCACACGAGCTTTTATCAGAACGGATGGTTTAATTCTATAAATTGATTTATTCCTGGGTGGTGACGCTTGGTACTCCACCTTTTTTTATCAAAATTTCAATAATCGCTAGACGAACTAATAATTCATATTAATGTGCAAAGCAATACCTGATTGGGTAGATTTTGAATATGCAAATTCTCCTCCGGCATATCATACGTTTGGCGGATGTATAATGGGGGCAATACTTTTGAATCTCTCTGCCAAACGTATCTCTCATTTCGACTCTGATTACTTTTATCATTTTTAAAGTACAACAAACTCGGAACCCCGAACAATGCCGTGGTGACCACGACAAGTTTGTGTAATATTTTCATCCCGGAATTTTATTATTATTTTCCGTCTACCTTAATCAATCAACTCAAATAACAGAAAAGTTCACGTCTGCAAGGATGAAATTGCTGCAGTGTTTTGCAATCTGGATTACATAGTTTGTGGTTTCATAAATTATGCAGAATGGATTTCTCCGCTATTCAAACATTTTAGGTGACGCAGATCAATAGGTTGTGTGTACACAGCCGTCTACATATTTGCAAACTATTAGGACTACACAGTGCTAAATGGGTATATTGAGTGGCATTTGTTGAATTAAGATTTGAGTTGAAGGTTACGCAGTATGAAAAATAGCGCATTGTTTCCTAATTTTATTTCCAAATTAAATACATACATCTGGTTTTGATGGAAAATTTATAAATAAACGGCTCCGATTTTTTACACTACGTGTTTACTCACGTAGACTTATATAAGTAATCATGCACAGTAAATATGTACCTAGTGGTGTGATATTTACACATTTATTTAATTAAAAATAAGCATTTTTGAAACATCAGAATTTAATTACAAATTTATCAAAGCTAAAAATTGAGTCATCTCATTTAAATAATTCAGAAATATGCCCAGCTTAAACTAAACGTATGTATTAAATGGCAAAATATTTGCATGAAATTGCATCAGAAAAGTTGGCTTGCACAAGTAGACTATATATGTACGTGTATTCGCAATGCGAATTTCGCATTCATGTGCATTTGCGCACGTGTACTAGATAACACAATGTGCATACATCTGTTCGTTTGCCGTTATTGCGATCAACAACTGCACTTTTACATCAACTAACTACTTATGTGCAAGAAAACCTACACAACATAAATGTGAGTCATACGCAGTAGTACATAAAACTCGCCTTAATTCAAATAAGTCTCATTACATTTAAAGCAATTCTAATGTTATCAACACCTCCAAAATGAGCAACGAACTTTCAAACTCGTTTTCCATACAGTCAATGCTGTCGAATTTTCTGGAGAGTGGAGATTTAGCCGACGTGGAATTTATCGTAGGTCAGGAAAAAGTGGGAATTAAAGCGCACAAAATTTTTTTGCTCATGCGAAATGATGTCTTTGGTTCCATGTTGAGTTCTCGGTGGCTCCGTGACACAGAAAGTGGTGATTAAGAGGACACTCATTTAACAAGAGTAGAACTCCCTTATTTCGAACCAGCCGTTTTTAAAACGTTTCTAAAGGTGTGGAAATAACAGTGATGCACATTTCATTAATCGATTCGTGTTTTAATCATAAGTTTTTTTAATTCAGTTCTTGTACACGGATCAAGTCATCATTAGTGACACAGTAGGGAACGAGCTGATTAACCTCTTCATAATGGCTGGCATGTCCGGGATAATCCCACCTCAAGAAAAAATCTTGACCACTCTCGAGTCTAGTCTTTCCATGAATAATTGTGTCAATATTTACGAATCTACGAAATTTTTCCCATTTCACTTCATATTCTTCCATTAGAACCCATTACCAACCTCTGCACCAAATTTCAGCGTTCTTTCACTATTTTGAGATTTTGGTGCATACTACCCCACCCACCTTTATGACCCCCACCGGTCAACCACTTGATCGATTTCGCCCATCTTCGAACTTAACTCCTCATTTGCCCCATACTTTATGTGTCCCAAATTTCAACTCGATCGGATGTGTTTAACGACAGTTATCGCAAGACAGACGGACAGACAGACAGACGGACAGACAGACGGACGTGATGGGTACATAAGCCCTGACTCGGGCTAAAAACAAGATTTCTACAACATGTCTGGCAAAAACAGGAGTGATGGTGTTACAGAAAGAGATGCCCACATACATACAGCGTTTACATACATATGCATGCATAATCTCTGGCTCTCGATTGAAATATGCAGCATTTTTGTCACTTTTTACTATAGATTACTCATACCCAGCAATAACTTTTCTTTCTCGTTCTTGTGACTAGTGCAATTACAAATACCAAATATTTAGTATATACATGTGCATGTATGTTGGTTAGCATTTATATACTGGACAAGCGCATAGTCGAGTCGAAGGTCATATCACCCATCCCACTGGAAAACACAATGTGACTCGTCATAAAGCATATCTTTATGCACACCTTTTTACTATGACCACGTTATAAAGGCTCGAGCAATCGAGTTTTCTAGTAGGATGATGCATTCCAGTTTTTTAGCCCTAGCCAACGTCAGGTTTATCTACCGGTCTACAGGATTCAGATAATTCTGATAAATATGTGCTTATTTACTCAAAAATTCTGGCTCAGGCTAAAGAAAGTTGTACTGGACGTTTGTTGGACGTTTTTCTATTAAGATATTACTCCTAAATGCAGGGTATTCCGACCCCGGGTTTTACTGGGTTGGGGTTTTGGGGTTTTACTGGGTTTTGCTGGGTCGTAAATGAGTAAAACCCAGCGGGTTTTACTCGAGTTTTACTGGGTTTTACTCGGGTTTTACCTTGTTAGTATTACGGTCATTGGGGTGGCCCTCCAGCAGTTTTCGAGATCTGAGCCAAAATTTGCGAATTTTTTGCAAATTTTGAGTTTTTCTCATACCAGATACTGATGGATATTTTACTTAATTTGCATACTTTTTCGAATTTTAAAAGTAATTCTTGCAACTGCAGTGGTTACAACCACAAATTATATTTATTCAAACAAAATTATTGTCGTCAGAACTTCCACGTCAGAAATTTTATGCGGTCGCCCTTTTTAGGGTGGCGGACACTTTATTAATTTTACCTCAGTTTGTTAAAAATTGAAAACTTGAATCCACCATGATTCTCTAAGAAATCGAGATATTGGTAATTTATATATTTCCAAAATGCACATCTATTTATTTATGGATTGTACACATAGAGGTCTCTATAATATCGATATGGAAGGAGTTTCGTCATTATCGTCTTTGTGATGAAAGTTGGGAAGCTTTCGCATCCTAGTGAGCCTACAATGCTAAAATTTTGCAAATTCAGAGATCATTTATATCCCCACTACCTTCCTCCGTTTTTTATATACAAACCAGATCCTCTCCCCACCCAAACACAATCTCACGCTTTTGCAAGGTCCCTTTGTTATTTCTGGAGTCTGTACATTCCTCTTTTGATTTCAATAGTCCTTATTATTAAAATTACGTCTCAATCGTCTCCACCTATGTAGGATTTACTAAAAAATAAACATGATAAAATAAATTATTGCTAAATGGGTTCAATAGCCAAAGCCTGGAACAAAATGAAAAACAAAAACTCCTCCTCTTATGACACATTAGGCTTATGTAATAGAATGATAAATATTTGTATTTCTCCTCAGTTTAGGACTCAAATTACAGACTTGCTGAATACGTTTATTTTAACAAATGTACTTCCCACAAAACTTAGCTTTGCAAAGTTGTACCAATTCCTAAAATTAAAATGCCAAAATCACCCAATGATTTAAGACCTATATCGATTCAGCCTGTGTTAACCAAGTTATTAGGAAAATGTCTTTTTGAGCAGTTATACAACCACCTTGAATCCAATCAATTAATTTCGCAGTATCAGTTTGGGTTTCGTAAATTTCATTCAACAAGTCATGCCCTTATTGCACTGACTGATTTTATGCTTCATGCTCTTGACAAGAATGAGGTATGTATCTTCGTGGCCCTTGATATTAGAAAAGCTTTTGACATGTCATGTAAGGACGTATTACGACATAAGCTAAGGTGGTATGGAGTGGATTCCGATCTTTTGATCTCTTTTTTGAGTGACAGAAGTCAATATGTGTGCATATCATGTAAAGTTGGTGTGAAAAACTCTGGTGTTTTGCCAATTAATCTTGGTGTTTCTCAAGGACTATGCTTATCGTGTTTCATGTTTTTAATTGTAATGAATGACCTACCGTATCATGTTATACATAGTCTGTGCGTAATGTTTTGTGATGACACTGGTGTCACTATTTCAGGTCCCATTGAATCAATTATGTTACTAATAAATAAAATTGAGTCAGATTTAAACCAAATATGCTCCTGGATGGTACAAAATAGACAAGAATTAAATGTTGAGAAATGTGTGTACATGTTAGTCTCTCGTGAATATGTGAAGCCTCTGTTAAGCAATATTGTTATTAAATTAAATAATACTGTATTGAAACGTGTTTCTGAGGTGAAAGTACTTGGTGTAATTATTGATGAGGACTTAAATTTTATTTCTCACTGTAAGAGTGTTGCAAAAAAATGTAACGGTGCCCTGTGGTCGCTGAATCCGCTCAAGTATGTAATCAGCTCCAAAAATAAGCAACTTGTTGTCAATGCGTTGGTACAGTCTATCTACCTGTATGCTGCCCCTGTATGGTTACATGGGAGGAAAAATTTTGATGTAATTGATCGAATTATAAAAGCTTGTGCTCACTTTATATTTGGCAAATCGAAATATGATTCAATATCTGATAATATCAATGAAATTGAGTGGTTAACAGCCAAAAATGCTTGCAAACTCGAAATGTGTAAACTTGCATGCAAAATGGTCACTGGTGCTGGACCAACTTTGTTCAATAAATACATATGTGAAACGAATATAAGTTTAACAACTAGAAATATGACATATAAAGAACCAAGTCTCAAATACAACAGTAAATTTGGTAAAAAATCATTTTTATATAGGGCGTCAAAAGTATGGTCTAATCTACCTGAGTCTATTGTACAGTCTAGTGGAGTGGTCAGCTTCCAAATATTTAAAAAACGTGTAAAACAACATTTTGTCAACAATCAATGTGATGATAGACTGAGAGTGATTTTTGAATTGATTGATGCATATGAATTTGATATGATATGTAATAATATGTAACCATTTTTTTTACTCTCCTTGAGATGTAATGTCCCACTGGTGGGGTATCTCATTGTAATAAATTATTATTACTACAAAAAACTTAAATATTGAACAAAATTTAAAATCAGATAAAAAATATTGCAGTATATGTATTCGCTCGTGACTATAGTTCGGGAATGGATGGCCCAATAAGAATTAACAAGAGCGGACTGCAAAATTAAAACTCATTTAATCCATACCAATTTAAAATTGCATATAAAAAAATTAGACACAAAAAATTAGGAAACCACAACAAACAAACACAACAAACATTATCTTGATATTTAGTTCTACAGATGAGAAAATGGAATTAAATGAGGTAGACAACAATTTGCCCATCAATTATGCTGTCGTCAGTTCTTCAATTCTTCCTTTTCCCCTTCGCAGGCGACTCTCCCTTGTACTTGGCCATTTTCTAGGAACAACAGGAAACGGAAAGAATTGTAGTAAATTTGAACAACAAATGATGAGTTTATCTTTTAGTATTTCATAAATAATAAATATCTGACCTTCTGGTACTCCTCCTTCGCAGCAGCGGCAGCCTTTTCGTACTTTTTCTTGGAGGTGGCGTCAATTGAGGCCCAACGTTTCCCCAACTCCTTCCCCATTTCGCCCAAACTAAGGCCGGGATTTTCTTGGCGAATCTTAGGCCTCATTTCACCAGAAAATAGAAAAAAAGCGCTGAGGGGGCGCTTTGGTGCGTCAGGGTCCTTAGTTTTACCCATTTTCACTCGCAAATTATTTTAGGAGGAATTAACCAATTATTATTTTTTAATTCAGGAGGGAATATAACTGACAGCAGAGCGGAAAGAAAGGGAAGTGTTTCGGTGGTTGGCCGTTGGATTTTATGTTTGGTAGAGTTGCGCACGGGTTGTAACTCGAGACGGAACCTGAACCCAGACCCTATAATTTCTACCCGTACCAGAACCAAGATTCGGAATAGGCCAGAGTGATATATAAAAAATTCTGGGTCACTTGTTTAAATGGGTTTTATGGTTTTCATTTGTTTTATTAAGTTTTTTGGGGTTTTAGTGGGAGATATTTCGTTTTATCAAGAATGCCAAGAAAAATAGTTTGCTGTTATTGCAAATTTAAATGCAACCGTATCTAGTTCCTGTTTTAGCATATACAAAATTATTTAGGTTAAAATAATAATTTTTAAAATACCTCGACGAATTGGTTTTTACTTAAATTTAATGTTATGACTATGAAAAATATGAATAAGATCAAATTAAACTAAAATTAAGCCCACTTTGCCTTTGTACCCATTGGGTTTAATTAATTTGGAACTCAATAGAACCAAGGTCGGCATACCCTGAACCGGACTAAATTTTATTCGGGCTTTTAGAACTAAAACCCGGACCTTAATGAAAACATCAACCTACTGCGACATAACATTTGCATTACACGTCACTGGCGTGAACATAAAATATTTTGCATAACAATTTTGTGTCAACATATTGTAAAAATCTCGGCCCGGCTCCGCTCTAGTTTCTACAAGTGAGGAACGAAATGCTACCACCACCAACACATGGTGGTGGTGTTACTTGAGGTAGAAACATACTCCGTACATGCTTACCATCCTACCACCACACTGTTATAACTGCCAAGCTACACACGGGAGAGCTGTGAGGTGAGTACCAGGTTGGCAAAAATCCAAGATTTTATTTTCACTCGCATTTCATTGAAATTCATAATACATGCTCATAATACGGCAACAAAAAATTTTCATTCATAAATTTTAATTTTTTTCACTTATCATCGCTTATCCTAGGGTTATCAATAAATTTTATTTTTAGTCATATTTCATTCAAATTAAAAATGTATGCTCATACTAAGGCCATAACAAAATTTTCTACTTCAATTTAATTTTGTTTAAATTAAATAATTGTAATAAATAGAAACAGTAATAAGTTTTGAAATAAATTAAATTAAATTAATTTTAAATTATTTTAAAATTATTTGTATCACACCAAAAAGCTCTCACTTTATGTTTAACTTTCTGTTGTCGCAAAATGAACATGTTATTAATTTGAATGAAATATGACTAAAAATAAAATTTATTGATAAGCGATGAGAAGTGAAAAAATTGAAATTTATGAATGAAAATTTTTTGTTGTCGTATTATGAGCATGTATTATGAATTTCAATGAAACGCGAGTGAAAATAAAATCTTGGATTTTTGCTACACTGGCACTCACCTCAAAGCTCTCCCGTGTGTAGCTTGTCAGTAATAACAGTGTGGAGATAGGATGGTAAGGATGTATGGAGCGAGTATGAGTGAGGGACGAAATGCTACCACCACCAACACATGGTGGTGGTATTACTTCAGGTAGAAAAGGAAATTGCGCTTCAACCTTCTTTGTCTGCTCAACTTTTGGAGTGTACATATGTATGTACGTGCATCAATACATTCACATGCATTTCATGAAGTACTTTTCAGTTTATGACAAATATATTAATTATTCCTTACTTAATTCATAGGTCACTTCATATGTATGTACGTGACGGTAAATGAAAGGAATAAGTTTATCCCGTTCAGACGGTATTCATCTTTCTGCATTTTATATGCACGAATATAATCATATTTGTATAGGTACATACATGCAGTTCTACAGGAAATCCTCGCCAACTCGTGTCACGTGGGGCGACGGATGGACTAAATTCTGCGAGGAAAAACATCAAACCTCTATAATCTTGTTGAAGGGTATTTAATTATCTACATAAATACTTGACTAATTGAATATTTAATTTAATGGAAAATTTTACATTAATTAGTGTATTTAATTACGAGAATATTTTACTATGGTTGAAATTTTAAAAGAAGAAACATTTACTATCCTGGCTTTGCTGAAAGGTGAATTGGCCGATGCTTCGGCCAAAACTCGTTACGGAAAAACTTCAAAACCCAACCAATTTTCAACCGATTTTCGAATTTCTAAATGTTTCGGAAACCTCTGACCGTGGGGCAAATTATATATTCCCAAATTTTGCAAATTTTGACCCCACCCACTGTAATTAAGGTCACGAGGTCATAAAAACGAGGCACATGTTTCTGTACTACCGGGCAACCCCAATAAATTATTCCGATTACACAATTGTCACTAATTGTGAAAGTTACCGTTGCCCGCTTAGGTCATTAAAAATACTTTCAGAACCACACCCACAGTGGGGGTGGCTTTTGGCGCTTTTGGTCTGATTTTGAGAAAGTGTGTCGTGTGACATATCTGCTGGCGTAACATGTTTAGAACTATTTAGCATCAATTAAGTTCGGAAGGTTTTGTTATGGCAATTGTGTCCGATGTTTGTCCTATCGACATCATGTGCTATTATTGCAGCGAGGTCAAAATTGTGCTAAAATTATGCACTAATTTTCTGTGATGGTACCTAGCAAAAACCAATCACCAAAAAATAAATCCAAAGCTTCAAGAGCTTTCCAGTGCTGCGTGTAACGATAAAACACACTGCTAAAAATCTGGTAAAGGCATATATACAATCCGTGCTGGTATTTATTTGGTAATAATTTTCTACTGGATTGGTATCAGTTTTCTTCCGAGTGGTAACTTTTTCATTACCATAACATTACTAAATGGAAATGATCGTTATTACCTCGCCAGTGGAGTCATATGCACTCCGGGCGGTAATGATTTATGACCAGTTTGCTAAGAGTGCATGCTTCAAACTTTTAATTTAAATCCAAATCTATAATGCTGCAACCAAGTGCTAAAATAACTGTATGTTTATATGTAAGATTTATTTGTGACACATTTCGTTTACAATAAAGTTATATTACTTCGCATCGATCGTTTTATTAACAAAATTAGACCCTTTCGCCCGAGTTGGTCTCATATTACCCGCTGTCACTTTCTTCTTCCTGTTCCGCTGTTATTTCCACCTCTGACTAAACATTCTCACCGTCACTTTCTCCATCACCCGTTTCAGCATTCCCACCATCACTTCCGGCTTGTTCATCTTCCCCATCGTCGCTTTCACTTTTCTGATCTTCTTCGCCGTCGCTTTCTCCTTCCTCCGCGTTCCCGCCGTCACTTTCACTATCCTCTGTCTCAGCATTCTCACCATCATTTTCTGCTTGTTCATCTTCTCCTCCACCGCTTTCACCTTGCTCAGCTTCTTCGTCATCGCTTTCACTTTCCTGACCTTCTTCGCCATCGCTTTCACCTTCCTCCGTTTCGGCATTCCCACTGTTATTTTCTGCATCTTCATCTTCGCCCCCGTCGCTTTCACTTTCCTGACCTTCTTCGCCATCGCTTTCACTTTCCTGACCTTCTTCGCCGTCACTTTCACCATCCTCTGTTTCAGCATTCTCACCGTCATTTTCTGCTTCTTCATCTTCGCCCACGTCGCTTTCACTTTCCTGATCTTCTTCGCCATCGCTTTCACTTTCCTGTCCTTCTTCGCCATCGCTTTCACTTTCCTGACCTTCTTCGCCATCGCTTTCACCTTCCTCCGTTTCGGCATTCCCACTGATATTTTCTGCATCTTCATCTTCGCCCCCTTCGCTTTCACTTTCCTGACCTTCTTCGCCGTCACTTTCACCATCCTCTGTTTCAGCATTCTCATCGTCATTTTCTGCTTCTTCATCTTCGCCCACGTCGCTTTCACTTTCCTGACCTTCTTCGCCATCGCTTTCACTTTCCTGACCTTCTTCGCCGTCACTTTCACCATCCTCTGTTTCAGCATTCTCACCGTCATTTTCTGCTTCTTCATCTTCGCCCACGTCGCTTTCACTTTCCTGATCTTCTTCGCCATCGCTTTCACTTTCCTGTCCTTCTTCGCCATCGCTTTCACTTTCCTGACCTTCTTCGCCATCGCTTTCACTTTCCTGACCTTCTTCGCCATCGCTTTCACCTTCCTCCGTTTCGGCATTCCCACTGTTATTTTCTGCATCTTCATCTTCGCCCCCTTCGCTTTCACTTTCCTGATCTTCTTCGCCATCGCTTTCACCTTCCTCATCTTCTCCGCCTTCAGTTTCTTCTTCCTCCGTCTCAACATTCCCACCATCACTTTCTGGTTCGCCAGTCTCACTACCGGTTTCGTCCTCAACTTGGCTTTCCTCACTTTCACTGCCATACATCGCAATGTCGTCTTGATCATCCAACGTGTCATCGCCACTCACACCGGAAATATCTTGGACGTCTTCATAAGAAATCTGTCGAAGGTTGCTAGACAATTCTTCTTCGTCAGAATCGTCACTGTCGGCATCAAGGCTGATTACGATTCGATTTTGTCCCAGGCGATCCGAAACGAAATTGTCTGCAACTTTTTCCTTCTCCATCAGTAAAGATTCCAATTTCTCAACGTGCTGGCAACATCCAGCCCACAACTCCTTCGAAACGGAAGATATTTCATTCCTGCATAGGTCCAAAATGTCATTTGCTTTAAAAGTAGTATTTTTCTGGGCAACTTCTCCTGCATTATCAATGAAAAATAATTAATAATAAAACAATTCAATTAATGCATTAGCAACATACTTTTTACAGCAGACCAAATCAATTCTATCGAATTTAATTCGCAGTGGGCTACGGGCAGACAAAGTAGTCTGATATCCTTTCCAGAATCTTGAGCCAACTTTTCCACAGCGTATATTGGCTCAACTTTATTTTTTCGGGCCAAATCAAGCAGAACGGGCACCGTCATCCTCGAAAAGTCTGAATATCCATTCGGAATGCCAATCTCATGAGAAATTAGCCACTCGATTATTTCGCTTTTCCGGAAAGCTGTGGTGGGATTCCGAGTGTCGTCGGTAATACGTTTGTGGTAACTGGCTTGGTCAATTACAATCACAGATTTGTCCGGGATTAGTTCTAAGACTTCGGCAAACCATTCCTCAAAATGTTTAGAATTCATTTCGGTGTGGTAGTCTTGATTTTTCTTCTTCTTGTCACCTCTGAAGCATTTTGAAGCCAGGAAGCCGTCCTTCGACCCAATTGCTACGATAATGATTCGTTTCCCAGCACCAGATGGTTTTCCGGTTACACCACCTAGCATATTTAAAATTAAATTTTGGCACCAATAGACGTATGTACGAGTAAGGACAATGAACATTTCATTAAATCGGTTTTCGGTTCTTTAAGTTTCGGTTTTCTTCAAAATCGATTTTAACTGGCCTCAGGAACCTATTCTACACCAAATTGAATAACTTTGAGAAAAAAATCATTCGAGAATATTAAATTATTACATGAAAAACAAGAATTGGCAAATATCTAGTAACTCGAATACAGTGCTGACATTAAAAATCGGACACCCCTGTTCTTTTTAAAAAGAGTTGACAGTTAAATTGTGAGAACGGTTTTCGTTAAATCGAAAACCGGTTTACCAGATCGTGTAATTTTTAAATATCCCCACCTAATTCCCAAGGAAATGATAATAATGGGAAGAACTGATAAATGTGTCAGACTTAAGTAGATAATTCATAGTCGTAAATTCTGCAATGTAGGAATTTAACGGAAGATTTTCGCACTTTTAAGGGAAAGATTTGACTTGTACGGGAAAACGTAACCCAGTAATAATAATTGTGATTACCTATCAATCCGTCTGCAAATCTACGACCGACGCCTTTCAACCACTGATCAACATGAGTCCCATGGTGTCCCCCCATTCCCAGAACTTCACAATCAGGAATGTGCCAGCCTTTCGACGGAGACTGATTCTCATTTGCCCATGTCTCGTCTGTGTAAAATATCTGAAGGTTTACGCTATTAACAAAATTATGATCGTCACAGTTACAAATTTAATCTATTACGATTAATGCGCTTACATTGTAATTTTGACGGCGCAAATTTCGAATGTTTCTTAAAAATGAGTGTCGTGCAACCTGAACATCATGTCGCTCAAAAGGAATCGGTTTAGAGTGGAATTTGACAAATTTAAATTTTAACTGCTTCTTCATTATTTTCTGCAACGTTGAGCAATTTTTTATGCGTGGAAAATTTGGGTCCTCTTGCAATAATTGATGCAGACGACGTACGGTGTAAAACTTCTTTTGGCTATACCCTTCCAGTATTTTACGCCTGATGACACCCTCGGTGAAACTGTCAACCAGAATTTCCTTCCTGCACCAAAATGAAATTGAAAAGTTATTCTCACAATTAAAAGGTAATGACAAAATTCCTTTCCTATTTTCCGTTCCTCGTTGTCGCATGCCACAAATTATAATTTCAACATTTATCGTTAATACCTTCCACTGTGTCCTTTTTTCTGCGGTAGAAGACATTTTCCCTCCTTCCGAAATTGTGATGTGCATCTTTGAAGAGTGGATAAGGAGATACCCAAAACATCAACCACTCGTTTACGGAAGTTTCTTGCGATCACCCAAGCAGCTATGTATAAAATATTTTTATTATTTAAAAATAAAAGATACAACAGTGAAAATATAGTGACAATTTAATTTTACCTGATCTAGTCTTCTTCCAAAATATTTTCCGTTCCTGCTTGAAGTAATTGTGCAACTTAACCACCAGTCCCTTCTCACCCACCGACAATTCTTTTCCGCGAGCCATGAATACAAAATAAAATGTAAAATCGTTGAAAATTTTGATAAGCACAATACTAAACAGATTTCCCTTTTGTTAGAATTATTTTGTAAATAATAATTCTAGCGTAACCATTTACGCCAGCTGAAACCTCGTCAACAAACTCCGGCAACGCGGCAATGCGTGTACAACCCAGGAGTAATATATCGGGGCAACGTTATCCGGGATACATGTTTGAAGATTTTTGCCTACATGAATATGTACATGTTAATACATCGTAAATACAAGTTTTTATAGATGTATTTAAATGGTCATTTTCCCTTGGTTTCGATTTTGTTACTTCAAAGACTAACAAGGGAACCTTTTTTTCAAGCTACACTCGAATTGACTAGCGAGAGCAAAAAATCAAGCCAAAAAGTAAGAGTCACATTACACTTATCCTAACCTTATAAAGAAACATATTGGCAGTAAAGTTCAATTCTAGAACAAATTTTCGCTAGCTTTTTCCTCCACTGGATGAAAACTAAGGCGGCCTGTGAACTTTGACCCTCAATATCTTTCTTCAAAGATGCCATTCAAAGGAAGGATAGGCGTCATGTGATTGTCAAATTTTGGCTTGATGTTTTGATATAACCCGCTAGTCACTACCGGCATAGCGTGAAAAAAGTTTCCACTGCAAGACTTATTTTTAGACTGAGGAATTGGTGAGAATGCTGAGAAAAGACAAAGTGACGCAGAGGAACATGATTAAGGAGAAAGTGACGGCAGAGAAAATGAGACCGAATAGGGCGAGATGGTATAATTTTGTTAATAAAACGAACGAGTCAAAATGATCATAATAACTTTATTGTAAACGAAATGCGTGACAAATAAATCTTACATCAATATTAACATCAAATTATTTTAGTACTTTAAAATTGAAGCATTATTGATTTAAATCTAAATTAATGGTTGGACGAAACGAGTCCTGCAAGGCTCTTGAAGTTCTGGCTTTATTTATTTCGCGACTACTTGAGCAGATTCTGAAAGGTTTTTGATAGGTACCATCACATAACCATAACCATAACCATAATCATAATTATAACCATAATCATAATCATAATCATAATCATAACCATAATCAAAACCATAATCATAATCATAATCATAAAAATAATCATAATCATAACCATAATCATAACCATAATCATAATCATAACCATAATCATAACCATAATCATAACCATAATCATAATCATAACCATGATCATAACCATAATCATAACCATAACCATAATCGAAAAACGCATTTGTGCTCTGACTGGCGGACCCAGAAAGCCAGCAGCCAATCAGAATGCTGGAATGTCACGGAAAATTTCACGGGACGGACTTTTAGAAATTATAATATAGATTTTGAATGAGTATTCTCGGAAGACATGGTTGAGTAAAGAAAATTTGTTTATTTTCCGAGCTTTCGACACTGTACTTGTATCATCATCAGGGATAACATAATATTTGGAAATGAGAAACACGACAGAATTAAATCAAAATGATAATTACAATATGTGTTTTTGTAATTGTTGTCACGGATGTTTGATAAGAGGCAGCATTAGTGACCAGATAGGATTCAGTTGTTTTCCATTGTCCTGATTTATGGTGTTGGGACATTTTTTGATGTATAAACTCTCCAGAAATTTTCTATGAAAATTTCTTCTTTCCGGGGCGATTAGACTTGCTGAGTCTTGGGTCATTATGTGGTCTGGATTTTCAAGAATGTGGAGAGCCACTGGGGATTTTACATTTTTCTTTTTGATGTCATTCATATGTTCCTTAATTCTTTGCTTCATTGGACGGCTGGTTTCACCTATGTAAACAGCAGGGCAAGAACAATTTATTTTGTAAACTCCTACCTTATCCGGGGGTGGGTTCTCCTTGTGTGAACAAATGATTTGTTTGATCTTTTTCCCGGTTAAGTAACCAAATTCACAGTTTAGTTTTTTGCGAAGATAGGATGTCAATCGATGTGTGATTGGACCCATGTAAGGCAGAATAATCCTGGGTGATTTCTCCTCGGGTAATTGGTCTGTATTAGGATGGTTTTGGTGTTTCATTTTCATTTTGTCTATTCTTCTCTGAATTAAGCTTCGTGGATAACCGTTGTTAATTAAAGATTTGGTGATAAATTTTAACTCTTCTTCCAAAAACTCATCGTCGCAAATTTTCAAGGCACGATACGCTAGAGCATCAATCACAGCCAGTTTTTGCGAAGGGTGATGATATGAGTTGTAATTCAGATATCTTCCTGTGTGAGTAGGTTTCCTATACACTTTTTTATGAATTGTACCGTCTTCGTCTCTGGTTAGAAGTACATCCAAAAAAGGTATTTGCAAGTTTACTTCAGATTCGAGTGTAAATTGGATACTGGGATGAAAACTGTTCAGAATTTGAAGTATGGATTCTTTTCTGCCTATTTTCGTACATGCCCCCGAGTCATCCACAAACCTTTTGTAGAATGGAATGTCCTTATTATTGAGTATTAATTTTTCTTCTAATTCTTGAAGGCAAAATTCAGCGAACGGTGGAGATACTGGACTACCCATGGGGGTACCGTCATTCTGTTTATAGATTGTTCCCTTCCATGTGAAATAATTGGAGTTTATTGTAATTTTAGGTAATTTTTTAATTAATTTCATTAATTCATTTGATGTAAGCTTTGTTTTGGTTTTCCATTCGGTGCTAGAGTCCAGTCGTTTTTTGATGTAGTCAAGCGTTTGTTGAATGGGTACATGTGTGAATAACGAAGTCACGTCAAACGAGACAAATTCATGCTCCGGAGGCACCGTAAAATTCTTAATTTTCTCTGCAAACTCGTATGAATTTTTTAATATGGTTGGGAATTTTGATGTTATTGACTTACCTGCAATTTTCGTTATTAAATACGCATTAACTTACCATTAATTTTGTGTCGAAGGTAAAGTGCCTACTGAAATGTTGCTTAAGAGGATATCGCATTTCAGAATGGGAGACTAATTTGGCACGTGTAATTCAATAATTTCTA